ATAGTTATTAAATAAACTGTTAATTTATCAACACTCTTCTAAATCTAAATATCAAATTAAACCTTCTGCTTATCACCCATAAATATTGCTTCACTTATCACTCATAAGCATCTTAAAGAACTGACCGTAACACATGTATAATTATTTAATCATCACAATCTGATAATTTTCAGCTAATAATATTAAATTTATCTATATTTATCAGAACTTTATCCTTAAAATATCTGATACTTAATATATAATATTACATATTAGTATAATCAATTATGTAAAAGTAGATAAAAGCTTTTAGAATAATAATAAAGCTATAATTTTCAAGACATATTTGCTATTACTTGAGTAAAAAAATACTGAGATAAGAAAATACTATATTTATAATAAGCGAAATAATAAATATTACACATATTTATTATTTAATTATTTTAATAGTTTATTATGTTATTTTCTCTTGTTATTTAAATTTATTAAATTTTTTGAAAATTCATTAATTAACACATCAAAAAATAGTTAAAAATTTGAAAATCTTACATAATATGTATAAAGAGAAGTTAATGATTATATTTCTAATTTTTTTCTGTAACTAATTTATATGAATTTCATATTTTATTTTTTAATTTTATTTTAATTTATTTTTATTTGTCATTATTTTAGATTTATAATATAAATTATACATTTCATATTTAACAATGATTTCAAAAAAAATAACTAGACAATTCAAAATAATTAAAGATTTAGATAAATTATTAGATTTATTTATATTAATATATTCATTAAAATTTGAATAATATATATTATTTTTCAAATTATAAAATTTATATTTTAAAGAAATTTTAAATAAAATAAATAGAAAATTTAAAATTAGAACTAATATAAAAATAGAGAATTATTTTCTTTTTTTCTTCTATTTTAATATTTACTATATATTTAAAATATTGAACTAATAATTCTAAACTTTTAAATATATCATCTTCGTAAAATTCATTTTTATAATCAAATTTTTATTTTTCAAAACTAACTTAATGATTCAAATACTTACTATAAAATTCATAATAGTTATAACAAATATATCAAATTATTGAGATATCATCAAAAATCCATTTAAAAATACTTTAATATTTTTATATTATATTATACATTGTCACTGTAGAATTCTTCAACTCGAGGTGATCATGTTATCAAGTTTCTACTCAAAATTACTAACTGCAGTTTACTACGATTAAGATGTTAGGATTCGCCTAACTCTTAACTTTACCAGATTTACGCGTTGAACTTAAACGAATCTATCAAGTATGAAGACTTGAAAGACGAAATTAGAGACAATTTTAATTAAAAAATTCAGATGACGAACTCAATTACAAATAATGTGTAGAGATTACGTCAGACTATATGAAGATATGAAGAGGCAGAAGGATATAAGTTTTAATTGATTCCTTTATTAATATTGAAACTCATATTCGTAAAAGAGTTAATTTACAACATAAGCAAAAAGTCTATCTATTTATACAAAATTTCTTTTGTCATGACTAACTAATTACTATGCTATAAACTAACTAATTTAGCAAAATAAAATAAATAAACTAAGAATGATACAGATACGTAAAATAATAAAAGTATAAAATAAAATAAAAATAACAATAAAATTTAATATGTTAAAAATACATATAATACTAAATATTCTTAGACTTCATTTAATTCGTTGAATTAGAATTATCATCAGTATTTGGAAGATCTTCAGGATTATATAAATCTTCTGTATTTTTAGAATTTGCAAAATTCTCAGTATTTTCAGAATTTTAGATTAAGAGATCGTTATACTGCGTCATTCACGTGATCTCATTATAACTGATTAATTGCTTCGTTGACAATATGTTATGAAAGGCTGAAATCTTTGCAAATCTAGTTTGTCAGATGTAAAATCAGCTATAGTCTTTTTAAATAGATTTATGTATGAAAAGGTTTACAAATTTTACTCTTATGCATTTTTATGGAATTCTTGATATCAGATAATAATACTATAATAAAAACTGAAATTAAATTTTGAAAATATTAATAAGTAGAAATTAAAATTTATAATACTATAGTGAAAACTAAAATTAAATTTTGAAAATATTAATAAGTAGAAATTAAAATTTCAAATTATGATATCTCTATTAATATTTATTCATTTTTTAAATTTTTACTATCATTTTGTTTTTTTTTAAAAATAAATCTAATGAATTAAATATTATTAGAATTAAATCACTAGTTATACTTTTTTCAGCTAGATATAAAGTATATAGCAGTATATGAAAGTTCAGTTAACTTTTTGCAAAAAACTTTTTCAGAGAAAATAATGTAAGGTTGTATATGTCAAATGTTATGAATGTATGAAACGAGTTTTTCTTACTATAGTTTCTTGTATTTAAAAAATGAAAATGACTCACAAGAGCATTATCAATTTTAAATGTTATCTTCAGGATGGTAATGATAAAATAACTTACATAATCTCATTCTGTAAGAAAGATAAGGTCATTATTCTCAAATTTGCTATTAAAACTCTATTAGCAAATTAAGGTTATCAAGCTCTTTCTCTCAACTTTGACCTCTATGTTAATGATTCTAAGAAAGATAAAATAGAATTAATCGAAAAGATCTTTAAATATTTTAATAAGCCTTTTATTCAGGATCAAATTCACATTCTCATAAAATTTAAGAATAATAGTATTTTTTGTTCATATTCATATAGTGATATAGTCACAATTTTTTATGAATTGTAGGTCAGGTTCTGGCAATATTTTTTATTTTATAAATAAAGTATTATTATTTTAATGGTATATGAGAAATGAGTCACATGTAATGATATAATATAATCATCTGACAATTTTATATAGTTGTATTACATCTTAATTGCATATATATTAAACAAATACATTATGAATCAATACAAAAAATCTATCATTTCTTTCTGAACGCTTTACTTCAAAAACCAAAAAAATACTTTTATATCTATAAATCAACTTTACCTGTAAATGTAATCAGATGCATACATTTTTTTCGCAAACATAAACTTAAATATATATATATAAACACTATGTTTTTATAAGCTTCTTCACCCGCTTCATCTGCCTCAATAATAGAAGAAATATTTATTAGAACAATGTTAGACATTGTTAAAAATTTTAATACAGAGAAGCTTATTGAATATTTGAAAAAGAAAGACTTGAAACTTAAGGAGTCTTATTTTAAAATTTTATGAAAAGAAAAAATTGCTGATCTTGATTTTCTTAAGCTAATTGAAGTAAAACTTAAATGCTATGACATGAAAGGAGGCTCAGTAACAAGACTTGTAAATTTCATCAAAGGTCTTAACCAAAAGTTACAAAACTATTTTTTCCTTAAAACTCTTGACGACCTAAAGGAGATATTATATAGAAATAAGGTCAATGGAAAAGATATAACAAATATCAAACAATTTACTCCTAGTAGGTAATTAATTATTTTTCGAAGCTAACTAGATAACTATAATAACTTTATTTTTCTCTATAGTCTTCGAAAAGATTAGTAATGATGATAAAGCATTTAAACACTGTATGGAGAATATTATCTTAAAACTTTTGAATGTGAAGACTATGACCAATACTAACAAGGTAACACATTGTGAATTTATTTCAGCTATATTACATGCATCAATTGCCGTTGTCAAGAAACTCACTTCTTAAGATATATTTCATAGTTTTACAAAAAGACGTTTCTGGTGAAGATGCAACGGATAGAGTATAATATGCAATCAAAAGTTTGGAAGACCTTCTTTGTATTACTGAAGAGAGCCATGCAATATTAAGATTGGATATATGCAGATGTGTCTACTACACAGATTTGCGTTTTTAGAAGATTTGATATTAACACATTTTATTTTTCTTAGAATTTGGCTCAGCTTTAAAGTGTGTTCCAGACAATAAGAAGAAGCAGACTGTGAATCAAGCTTTTGGAAATAACTATTTTGATTATATATATAGTATTGTGACTACAGACACAGAGTGGCATTTTATCATATATACTCCTGATGGTATATACTTTACAAGTGGAAGCAAATACCAAATTAATCTCATGAAGTCCACTGTTAAAGAAAATCCAGAGTTACTTTGAAGCAATGTGAAAAGGGTAATAAGTAGGTATTATTGTTAGGCTGTTAAAAGATCGTGTTAGTGTAGATAGTTCCCCAACTAGCAAGAGGGCTAGAATCAAAAAAATTACCAAAAAATAATATGTATCGCGGAGCTCAGTCCCGACCTTTGTATTTATTTTTGCATATTAATAAAAAATTTTTCTTGTAAATTTTGCTGATGGGCCATTACAAACTGAATCATGTAATTTATTTACTGCATTAATAAAGAATTCGGCCAAAAAGGCTATACATTGTATCAAGCATGGAATATAGAGATGTATGGTAAATAAAAAAAACAAGACCTAAAGTCCTACTTGGATCAAATAAATCGCACCTTATACGAAAAATAGATGCGCTGTAATGTTAGATATTATGTAGTTTCTTGTGGGGAATATTATTTTACATAATCTATGCGGGTAGAAGATTTGTAGATATTGGTAAGAAATCAGGTAGAGAAAGATTATGGAAGTGTAGTTAGCGATATAGATAGAAACAAGTTAGTTGTAGAAATCTATATAAAACAAAAGAAATAACTTGATGCTGGGAGTCTCGCATTAAATAGCCTAGTCTCCGCGTACTTCCTCCTTGAAAAGCATGTCATACATTCCATTTATTTCGTTATATTATACGAAAAATAAGCATCATCTGTATCGGAATATCAGATTTTTATTGTATGCAACATTGCAAAGTTTAAAAAAAATATTACATGAAATTGCTATGTTTACAATTACAGCAATTCTACGAATTTGTTCTATTCATTTTTCGTAACCTTGATTTTTTTTCTCGCCTCCATAGGAATTTGTTTAACCTTATTATAAAGATCATTTTCATCCTCAAATGGTCTTTTATTCGTGATTGCAGATGCAATTGCATCTCCTATTCCACTAATTGTTCTTAATTCGTATTCCTCCGCAGTATTTGCATCCAATTGGTCGTTATCTATACAACAAATGTAAGGTTATAAAGATAATTATATAATACAAAGATATCAACTCATACCTGCCGAAAATTCAGCACGGGTCGAAAAAGTATACCCATAGAAGAGCTTATAGTTTTCACGATCTATTACGAAACAATTTCTTTCTAAAGATTCCAAACAATTTCTTGTCTTAGGTCCATTGGTGCAGATGAAAAGGACCCAATGTTTAATGGGACTTTCGCTCTCAAATGATTTCTTCATAACTTCAACTGCATCTTTAACTTTCTTGTACTCGCTTTCAACCATCCTTTTAGATAAGGTTTGGGGCTGTCCAGCTGTGGCATTTGAAGATTTAACCTGAATGGCAATAAGGTAATCATCCAGAAAAAGAAAGATATCCCATGGAGCTCCTTCGGCATTCTTAAATACTGTGCCAAGCAATAAGTGCTCATTGTTCATTGTGTAAGGATATCGATTTGTAAGTTCTACATAATATTTTTCTACTGTAGGGAGCCGAAATTCAAGATCAAAAAGAGAGATTCCTTGATCATTATGATATGCACTTCTGAAGAGATCTCGTAATGTTACTGAATCATTTAACTCTTTAAAAAGTTGAAGACGTAGGACCCAAAATCGCATATTAAATTCTTCAAAACTCTGCCACAAGGTATGAGATTTATGATTAATCATAACATCCCAAAATCGACCCGCTTTGAATTCCTTGATTGATGTTGTTATCCAAACCCATATATACGGCATACGTACATAGGACTTATTAGGATCATCACATGTAACCTCCAAATTTATAATACCCTTTGACGCGAGATCAATATAAGAGATTTTATCATTACCAATTTCAAATTCGTCATCCTCATCAACAGGAATGTTTAGGATTGCATATGCAACCACTGGTTTCATAATAGTTGCAAACTCTTTAAATGGATATTTTTTCTTAAGGCGGTGATTAACAAGCTGAAAAACAAACTTATAATCAATAACTGGTGTATTCATCTTAATTGCACATAATAATTCTTTATAGAAAATTTCCAAAGCTCGGACTTGTCCACCAATATCACTAATAAAGCGTTGAAAGGTTTTGTTGTGATTGATACAGCCTGCCAATTCTTGATCTTCTTTCATATATGAGGTAATTTTCTCTACTTCTTCATCTGAAAGAAGACGGAGCGGTAGACGTAAAAGATCATACGTCGATTCCTGAATAAATTTCTCAAGAGGACCTTGAATTGTTCCGGCCAAGATTGGTACATAGAGCAAATTTTTTTTCGAATTGGTAATTAGGCCTCCGATAGCATGAACGATGTCACGAACTGGTCTTTGATTATCCTTTGCTAGATTATGCAAGACATTTAGCTCATCGATTCCAATGACAAAAAAACCTATATTGCCACCAATATCCTTAAGAACAACATCACACGCAGTTTCAATTTTGAGAGTTTTCCAATTTCTGCACATTCTCATAAATTGATTAAAGTATAGTGTCTCGCTACCAGAGATAAAATATTCATAAAGCATTCGCAGTGCAACCGATGCTGGACCAGCAGATGCATCTTCATCTGATGCATTAGTAATTGTATTAAATGTAATATTTATAGCTAATACTTGTGAATTACCAAGTACATGTTCACTGCGATTGCGATATTGTTCTAAGAGAGTCAGAAGTTCTTGGAGGAATCGACTTTTCCCTGTGCCTGGCCCATTAGCCAGGATGGGAATATGATGGAGTTGCTTGTCATATCTTTTTTCCCTGATATAATCAAGTCTTTGACGAATCCCATTTCGCGTTTGATTTCCATTAAGTAATATTTGAAGAGTTTCGTCTCGTCCTTGTAAAGGAAATTCGGCACCAAAGGAACTTACAAGCTAACATGAAGTCAGTACGTGGCCAGAAAACCAAAGGAAATAGGTGTGAAACAAAACATACCTTGGACTTCTGATTCTCATCAGGTCGTTTTAACTCTTTTATCCAGTTATAGATCGAATCAACATTATTCCAATCAACCGCGTCTACATGTATTAATAGTGGTGGGTTAGGATATAAAACTAAAAACAATAGTAGTAATTTAACTGCGGATGCCGTACCTTGTGGAACGCCTTGTTTGGAGGGACCTGCTTTAACGCGAAAAAAAAAGGAGATCAGACCAACTCGATATTTTGTTACTGCAAATTTCTTGTTCGAGAGGTAAAACGTTGGGAGACACTTACCAGTGGAGGTGGAAACAATGGTGGGGATGATGGTGATAATATGTATGTTTCCCATTACAATCTTATTATGATCAGCTAATTCAGTTTTAAAATACTTATTAAACAAGTCATTATCTCTCATTTTTTGTCCTTCAAGTTTATGTACAATATCATCTTCAGTAGAAATATTATTATTTTCAATCCTTTCCGCTTCGACATTAACTCTCCAGAGTTTCACTTTACGCTGGTCAACTTCTTTAATATCATATATATTACATATATGTTCCTTGAGATGTGAAACTTTGAAATTGGATAAGGTGACCTGTGTTAATTTACCACGTTGGAAATATCTTCTATTCTTATTGTCTTTGTAAATATCAACCGAAATAGTTTCAGGATCGTCGCTTGAGGGTATTAAGATGGAACAATTGAATGAAGTATCCATTTCGATGATATCGCTGTAAAAAAGTTATAAAAGTGATAGAATAAGTAATAGTAAGTTTGAGAGAAGTCTTAGGTATATATACACTTTATATACTTTTCTGAATACATCGTGACATAGACTCTTGCATAAGCTTTTTTGTGGCTTGTAGTGACGTAGTACAGCAAATAATATAGATACTTCGACCAAAATTAATAAGCATAGTAAAAAAAAAGTGTAATTTATCAGTACTCGAAAAAAATGATTAGATTTTGATTCTCCGACAAATTCTCAGGGTATTTATTAAAAAAGGCGAATTAGTGTTACGTAATTTTTAGGTTGTACGAGTGGTCGTACGATTGACCGTATTTGACTAATCAGAATGAATTAATAAAGCGCAGTAACGCTCAGTGACGTGATTTTCACTAACTTTTTTTGACCACCGCAAGCATTTCTCTGAGCCTAAAGAAACTGACATATCGCGATTTGAAAGAAGTGCTGACGAAGTCCGGACGATACACTTCGCAATTAAGGTATGAATGAAACATATTTTTGGCTGTGGCTTTACAGGAGAACGATTCCAAGACTTGCAAACGAATGATATTTTCTCGTACAGGTTTTGAAGGCCTTACTAGAATCACGGATTGCAAACAACATAAAATTGGTTAATGTTATTATCCATTGATTTATTTTCCGACACTGCATACAAGTATAACTGTTTTTTTTGTTTTATCTAGAATATCGATGGTTGGGACAATGAAACCGGATCACGGAGTGTGATAATGTGTATTAGTAGTATAGGCAAGCGAAAAACTGGTGTGGTCTGCAGGCATTAGTATAGAAACTCCATTCACACTGTAAAATAAGTTTATGTATTACCGAATCTTGTAATCTATTTTTACATCAATAAATCAGAAATTCCGATCGTGACATTTTGTCACGGTTTTTTTTTTTATCTATGCTAACGATCTTTTGAATTATTCCATCTTATATAAAAAAGAATATTATCAAACATGCAATCCATTGATTCGTTGAGAGAATTAAATGCTAGTTTATGTAATGTGAAAATTTTTGATCATGTGTGTTTTCACTTACATAATGATTAAAATTATATAATTTTTTATTATGATTGTTGAGCTCATACGGAAAGCCACGCTAAACGACGTCACCCACATACAACCATATGGAACCTTTGCAATAGAAAGGATACCTTTATACGCCAAATGTGATTTTAGACCGATATTTATCAGACTTGTTTTTTTATTTTACTCGACAATTACTCCCTTCTATTTCAAAGGTCCTATATATTCTCTAAATTTAATTTGAATATTACGGTTTTAATAAATCTCATCCTTACTAAATCGCCAAGAAACAAATTATTGCAACGCGAATAGAAAAAAATATAGATAAAATTATAAGAAGCAGATCGTAAGAGTTAAAAATAGTATAGTTAAATTTGAATGCTACTAATCATGAACGTTTTGATTAAGTTTCATCACTTGCCACGGGCAAAACCCGGATGCATCGAAATCGAAACCGTCGAAATCGGTCGAAACCCGTCGTCGAACCTATCGAAACCATCGAAATCGAAAGGTTTCGAATTTTTCCAATGTTTTTTTATTACGATTTTTGTGAGGTCATCAACAATAAGTATTGGGCGGATGAATAATTTGTTACCACTTTTTGAAGCAAATTCTTCAAGACCTTTAATAAATTTTCAATAACTCCAACTAAAATATTTATCACTAAATTGATTTGTAAGTCATTCGATAAGCATCTAGTTTAACCTTTGGTGAGTCTGAAAATAAATTACACCAATTTGAAACTTTCAGCTGCAAGAGTATTTTTCTCAACTATGGGACCAATAATAAGATAGTAGTTAGGACCCTCTTGGCTGGATCAATAGCTTCTCTTATTATGGTAACCTGACAGTTTAATAACTCCATAAAGTATGTAGAAGGGAATAGAATAAAGCTGCAGGTTCGATAAGTCTTAAAGAGACAAATCTTGCAAGTGATACATGATTGAAACGTTTCTAAGTCTGGTTAACACTTGATGTATTTGATTTCCCTTTGAGAAAGAGGTCTGACCACTTGAAATTCAGATAGTAAACATCATAATGAAATAAGATTAATGTGTTTCCGTGATTGCGGGTCAAGTTTTTTAATAATTAAGATTGATTTTATGAAAGATATTATTCACGCGAGAATTACGGGCAGATTAAAATCAAAATAGTTTCATCATCTACTGAATAGATTACTTCATGTGATGAAGAAAATGAAGGGGAATAAAAAACAAATCGAGATTAATAATTCATTCAAGAGTTCTTCGTGGTCTTGAAGATCCAATTAATAATACTATTTTATTGATACAGGGTTCTTTGGTAAGAGGCGAAGACAAGTCGGTCACATGTTCAAAATTACTATGATAATTGAATGTTGTCCCATAAATGATTTCCTAAATAGAATGCAACTAGAATTAACGACCAATATCGTATTATTTTGCAAATAAGTATATAATTAAGTTTCATTCGGTTATTTTTTAATTATAATTAAAATTATCATTTACATTGTTCGTTACACAAGACAGTGTGGTGTTAAAATTGGTAAAAAAAAATATATCGAACCAATGAGTAATGAGTATGAAATATGTCACGATATTCGCGTCTTTGTTATTATTAATAATTTGATTTTAATATAAACAAAAATCATTTTTTTTCTTTATAAAAGGTCAATACTTTGCCCAATTTTTTTTTATTCAACTTTTAACTTTTTGATTTGACATCACAACGCCTTAAAAATTTCTAAACTTCCTTTTCAAAATGAAATTCTCTACTATTCTTTTTATATTTGCTATTTTCGCATTCTTAGCAATTGATGTGTCCGCAAAAAAAAATTCATGCATCCAAAAAAAAAACGCTCTAGATGCTAAAAAATTGAATAGGAAATTCAAAAAACTCACACCAGACAGTCCTTGTACGTCTAATAAAGACGCTTGCATCAATAGCAAAATCGCCAAATGTGATAATGGCAAATTCGTCCTATTTCCATGTGGGCCAACTTTAGAATGCTTCGCTCTTCCGCTTGTAAATTCCCGTGGTACCTCAATTACTTGTGATACATCAGCAGACGCTTCAAAGCGTATTTCCGATGCTCTCAAATGCAAAGCCTTGACCGGTTGAAATGCGCATATTCACAATATTTTATATAAACATTTTTTTTATTGTTTAATCGGAAATTATAAAGTTTAATTAAAAGATAATTAGTGTTGCATTTAATTTTTATAAAATTTTCAACTTACCTTTTGATTGATTTTTTCTCTGTTCATTTTTTTTTTTTTTATTTCCCAAACCTCCGCAGATTTTCGTGATGATATATAACAAAATATTTAAAAATTCTGGCGAGAAATAAAGAATTATTTTTTTCTGTGTAATTTTAATATCAAAATAATTAAAAATTATGCATTTGCACGTGATTGACTATATGCATACTCCGGATATTATACGGGGAGTATTAATTTCATTTTCATAATAAGTAGTTGGGAGCTAATGGTTACGGTCATGACCGGTCATAACCGTGACCGATCGGTCGGTCAAAGGCTTCTGTGACCAGTGTTGGCCTTTTAGACTAATGGGATTTTGGACCATTGGACCATTGGACTAATGGATTTAGTCCATTAAAATTTGGACTATTGGACTATAGACTTCATCCACCAACTATAAATTTATTATAATTTTAGCACTATATTCATAATTAATAAAATATATATTATATAAATCATTTTTATTGATATTTGTTAGAATTTTATTAAATTAATTATTATTACTTAATATAAAATTTGACAAATAATTAGGTTCCACTAACCTCTTAATTTAAATATCTAGATATATTCCATTTGGAATTTTGAACTCTAGCAGGATGAAGTAATTTTGAAATGCTTGTAATATTAATTTTCAAGCTCTCTGTCATCTGAAAAATCAAGGTCAGAACAGTAAAATCATTCTGTTTGAATGAATTTATTATGGATCATTCAAGAAAAATGATTTTATTATTGTTCAAATTTTTAAGTTAGGCTAGCATTATAAATTTGGCTAAAATTATATAATCATAGTCCATTTAAATTGGAATTGGACTGAACATCTCCATTAAGTTCAAAGTCCAATAGTCCATTATTGGGAATTAAATAAGGTCTAATTCCAATACTGTCTGTGACCGACTGATTTGAGATTGAACAACCATGTTTTAAATAGTAAAATCACTTTGTATTAAATTAACAAAATCAATTTTGAAATTTTGAAAAAAAAAATTAGCTGATTCTTGATGTATACTAATTTGCTAGAATAATTTTTTTTTGTGGGATCTTTTTCTACATCTCTTGCAAAACCACAGTTCAGAAATGCAATAAAATTGAGCTTGTTTTATTCTGTGATAATCATGAAGAGATCTGGATTTCAACCAGTATTAAGTAAATAAGTAGATGCTTTTAATCACATTTTTATTTTTACAAAAAGTTTGTCAATTTTTAGAAAAGCATGAAATACTTTCAAAGCTATAAATTTGCAAATTCTGCAAAAAACTAAGTTCAAGAACTAATAAGAATTATATATCTTAATAATCCTTTTCTTTCTGCTAAAATATTAAGTTTATATATAGATTTTGATAATGAGATTTTAGGAGGTTTGATAGTGATAATATTTCATCAAATTTTACACCTAATTTTTTAACTTGATAATAACAGATTAAGAGATGAAAAATTCAAAAAAATTACTTATCTTAAATTTATTAGCAAATTTAAGATTCATAAAATTAGAAGATTATAAAAATTATGAGAAGAGATAATTAATAATTGAATATTTAGTTATAAGAATATTAGAATTATAAAGGTATTAATGAATATTAGAATAAATGACTTTTAAATCATTATAAGAAATAGAAAAATAAAATTCATGTTAAGTTTCAAATAATTATTAATTTACAATAACAAATTTAGTATTATAAAATAACCTATTTAATATATAAATACAGGAATAGTTGAATACTCAATTACATAATTTTATGGTAATAAAGATTCAAAAATTATTTATAATAATATTTACTAATAGTATAAATTATCTAATTATGATCTAAATGTAAAACATATAATGCAAATAAGAATTTATTGTATTTTTGAAACTTATCTTTTAATAATATGAAAGATTAGTATAAAATAAAGGCAAAATATTAGTGATAATATTGGTTTTATAAGTTTTTAGTCTATCAATGATTTTAATTAATAATTATATAATATATAATATTATTCTTAATTAGTTTAGAAATGAATGTATAAAATAAGAAATACTATTTTAGCTAATAATAATCTAACTATTTAATAATTATTTATACATTCATGTTAATTTATATAATATAGAATGAGGATTAAAATACATCAGGTAAATAATCAACAAATTTAGCTCTAAATACTTCAAATACTAATACTAAAGGAAATTTTATTGCCTAATGTATCTATATTAATTAAATTTTTATTTATTTTAAAAAATATTATCTTATTATAAGTGCTGAAAAGGTTTAATATATATTTTGTGAATTTTCTTAAGGCTTTAAACTATTATTTAATTTTATACAAAATTAAAAAAAATAGTTAAATAAGCTTATCAGGCATTTTTAAAAGAATATTAAAAGGTATTAGTTAAACAGTAATTCTTATAATATATTTTTTTTTAAAAAAATAAAATAGAAATAAAATGTATTAATATTAAACATTCAATTTTTGTATTATTAATAAAATTGAAAAATATTGAAAGAAAAAGTCTAATAGATATTAGATAATTATTTAAACAATTTTTTAGAATAAAATATTATTCAAAATAAATGATTAAATATTATTTAAAATAAATAATAATAATTAAATGATTTATTATTATTTAATTATAATAATTATAATACATTTTGCTATTATTTATATTTTAAATATTATAATTAATTTTAACTATCATAATGCATTTTAATTTTTAATTTCTTTAAGTCAAAATATTTTAACTTAAAAATTTTAATTTTAATTTTATATTTAAATCTAATTATATGATTTATTGATAATAATAATATAAAATCAAAACAACTAAAAAAGTATATTATAATATAAAAATTATTATTATTAAATATTTATAAATAATATATTAGTAATTAAATAATATAAAATAAATAATAAAATCATATTTTAAAATTTAACAAATTATATAAATTTAAAAATAACACTTTAAATTTGAATAAATTTGATCAATTTCAAAAAAATAAATAGTTTTTAATTTTATATAAATTAGTTATAAGTTTTATATATATATTATTTATGATTCTTTTAATATATTACTTAAATTTAAATTATAATAATACTTTTTATATTAAATATTTTATATTAATATTAATAAAAAAAATTAATACAAAAAAAATCTAATAATAAATTTATTTGCAATCTATTTTTTTTTGAAAAATATAAAAATCCCATTATAGACTATAATCTTTTTATTGAAATTATATTAATATATATTCTAAAGATTTGTATTACAATAATATCTAATTCTTTTTCTTATATAAATGTTATTTTTAATATTAAAAATGTTACTTTTAAATTACTGTTAAATTGTATTATTAAAAGAATAAGATTAATTTTAATATAATTTAAGTTTATAAAATATATATTTAGATTCTTTTATACTTAAATATAATAATAATAGATTAGCTATTGACTAAAATTAATCTAATAAAATTATATATTAATTTATTAAATCAATAATCTGTATAAAAAATAAATGAAATAGTAAAGGTTATTTTTAAGTTTTTTTATTAGTTTTAAAGATATTTATATATTTAAATAGAAAAGTTATCATTTTTTAAATACAGAGGGTGGATAAAAGTTAATGAATACTTTTTTACCAAATAAAAAACTTATAATTCTTTAGCATTAATAATAAAATTCTAATATTATTTTATTTAGAGCTGATTAAGGCATATATTTCATATTAAACTTTAGTGCTTGAGTGGGCCTCCCTTTGTTGCAATCACAGCCTGAATTTGCTGTAACATGCTATCAACTAAATTTTTAATAGTATGCATTAGAATTTCTCACTATGCCTTTTTAATATAACAGTTAAGGTCAATAAGATTCAATGGTAGTTTTTTATATGCACGAATATTTTTTTTAATATTAGCCTATAAATTTTCAATTGGGTTAAGATCAAAACATTAGGCTGGTCAAGTAAAATATAACTCTGTATTATTCTTTGGTTAATTCTTTATTTTGTTCCATTATTTTTCAATTTGGTAGAGATAAAGTGAATTAAGTCAAAATAACAAAAACAACACAAATTTTTTTATTTTGATTATGTAAATAAACAATAGACAATCATATAATCGCAGTATAGTATTATAATTATATGATAAAAATTTGTTAAATTATATTTATAAAAGTATCCGTAAACTTTTGTTCACCCTCTGTATAAACTTTTGTAAGATATTTAAATATTTACATAAAATAAAAGCAAATTTCTTATAATTTCTAAAAGTTATAATCATTTATTAGTTGATATAAATCTATTAATAAATATAATTAATTTTGATTTTTTGAATTAAAATGTTTTGCTTTATTAGAAGATTTATATTTCGTAATAAAATATCTAATATTCATTTTATAAAAAAAATTAAAAATAAGATTATATAAGAAGTTTGCTAGAAAATCAGACTCTGAAAATTTTTTGACTAAAATTAAGATCTTATTATATTTAATCTAATAATATCAAAACTAAAATACAATAAAATCAAAATTTTATTAAAAAATTTCAAATACCTGATTTTTCTAATAAACTTTTTATATAATAAGATAAATAATAAATACTTTAATACTTTTTTAATATTTTAAATACTTTCAAAATAATAATAATTATTATTCTATTTAGTATTATTAAATAAAATTAAATTAATATATTTTTATATTAAATTTATTATTTATTATAAAATTTACTAATAAATATGTATGTAATTTTAAGATAAATAAGTTATAATTTTATTAGTATTTTTTTATAATTTTATTAAAATTATTATTAATTTTTTTTAAAATATTAGCTATATAAAGATTAATATAATAAGTAAAATATAGAAGATATATTATTTAGATGAAGAATTTGAAATAAAC